TACATGGCTGAAAGTTCAGTGACTAAATAGGCAATTCACTTGCGTACATTGCGTGCAAGGTAAATTTGATTTTGCCCCATTTGGTGCAAAATGAATAGTGTTTCACCAAATAGCAGACTCTAATGCCACATTAGAGAGCTTTTGCACCACAATTTGGTGCATTTTGGTGTTTTTGTGCAATCTTTGGAGATGCCCTAAGGTTTCAATTTATTTTTCCTTTTCCCTTTTGTATATTTTCTTTTTTATTTAATATTTTAATTGTATATATATGAAAAATACAAAAATTACCATTCCGTCCTTTTAAAACGTTAAAATATGGTCAAAATTATTTTTTGGTTAACTAACGAAAAAGTAGATGTATTCCATCCATTTGTAATCCAACTGCACTTAGTTGAAATGTTTGAGACCACTGGTACAATAGATGAAATGTTAAGATGAAAATCGTAAAGATTTGAAAGGCTGAGATCATGCAATTATTTCTTTCATAAATATATTTATTAAAATTATTGACTTTAATTTAAGTCCCCACTTGGACTCTATTAAAAATAGATTTGGAAAAAAAAATGTATCGATGAATAATGATGTTTTGAAGAATCATCAACGTTGAACGTGTGTTGTACATTATTATGAAATGATTTATAAGTGCTGTAAAAATAATATTTAAATATACGTGAATGTTAATTAATTTAGAATTATACTATGGAATATATACTTGACAATGAACGTTAAATCATTTATTTAATTTTTAGTTAAGTAAAATTTGATGTTAATTAGCATACATAGATGTGAATAATGAAATGTATTATTGAATGTGAAATTCTAATTGACTTATAATTATAATTAATAACGTTGAAATGCATAAATGAAGATAAGTATTAATTAAATAAATGTGAATATTAATTAATTGAAAATTAATAATGAAAAATTCATACATTAATTAATGAAAATATACAAGTGAAATGAATATGTTAAATGTACACGTAAATTAATAGCAACTAAACGGTTAAATAAATTAAATACATTTTGAAGAACGAAAAGTAAGATATTATTGAAATAATTGAATTATAGTAGGATTAGAATCGTCCAAAAATGAGTATCACTTGTTGTAATATTTAATATATTATAGACATGAGATTAAAAAATAAGAACTTGTTTGAATTTATTATGTAATATTACGGATGTATCCTTGACTAAGATTTTGATGTATTTTAAAAGATTATAAATTCTAATAAATTTCGTGAATTTGAATAGATTTTCACAAATTTCATAAGAATCTCATCAAATATGGTAAAATTTTCAAAGATTTGATTATATATATTTTTAAGCCTGAAATTCATCCAAATATTTTAAATTCCTCTATTAATGTATTTTTTTAAAAATCTAATAGTTACTGAGGATACCTAAATTTTAAATAATTTTATTGAATTTTATTTAAATCTCAATCAATTGGAGACACTTAAATTAAATATTAGTGGATTTCATTAAGATTTCATTTAAATCTCAATTTTAAATTAATTTTATTAATAGATGGATTTTAAAATATTTGAATGGATTTCAAGCTTAAAAATACGTATCAAATCTTTTGAAATTTATAATATTTTAATATCCATCAGGTAGAATTTTAGTAGCTTCTTTCGCAAGCCTCCTTTTGTATATCCTCCTCCCTTTCTCTTCTCAACCGTGGGGCTTTAGAATTGGTATAGGGTTTCAACTGCCTTCCCATCCTAAATCAATGGCCGGCGTTTCGGATGATGTACTCCTAGATTTGCTGTCAAGGTTACCGGTGGTCAGTCTTGTGCGATTTAGGTGCGTCTCTAAATCATGGAGTGCTTTAATTGATAGCTCTTATCTCGCTCAATTGCATCTGAATAAATCATTAAACGACATCAAATCTCGCAAGATGCTTGCTGTTCGTAGAGTATGTGACTGGAATAATGTTGGACGTGATATATTCTATGCCATAAGTTTTGATTTGGGATTCAAATTTTCAGATGTTCAAGAGATTGAGCCTCCTGTACGGTATCTTCAGACACGGATGAGTTTTATAGGCTCTTGCAGATTCCTAATTTGTTTAAGATATCAATTTGACAGATATGACTATGAAAAAATTGTTTTGTGGAATCCGTCTGCACGTAGTCACAGGATACTGCCATTCATCCCTGTTGAGATTGAGGCCTCACAGGACACAAAAGACCGGCCATATACATTTAGTTATGGATTTGGATATGACAATGTTATGGATGACTACAACGTTGTGAGATTGGTTTTTGATGATGAGAATGGTGATTGTGAAGTTAAAGTTTATAGCCTGAAATTGGATACTTGGAAAAAGATTGAAAAAGTTTCACTTCGTGTTTTGGACGTGAGTAGGCCTAGTTTTGCCAATGGTTCTATGAGCTGGATTGTGAGGGAAAGAAAACTGTCAAATTCTACCTTTTCACTTCTTAGCCTCTGTCTTAGAACCGAGGTGTTTCAATTAGCGTCATTGCCCAAGGATTTAATCCCGGGACTAGATTTTTCCTATGTATGCTGCCATTATTTGAATTATTGTTGCTACTGTTCGGATTGGACTTATAAGGGGTATTACCATCGTTTCTCAGACGATCATGATTTATGGAATATAATGGACTGTGAAAATAGTGATATTTGGACTAAGTTAAGGTTGCCAATTTCTGATGGTGAAGAGGGAATGGGTGCCAGTGAAATATACCAGCAGCAACTTAAGGAATCATTGCTGAAAAAATTACTTTCCGAATTTCAATCATTGCAGAAAAATCCCAAATACATGACAATATTCCCTGAAGACAGGTGTAGTTGGATTGACAGTCTTGTTCGAGTTGAAAGAAGCAACAATAAGTCGAAAAAATGAAGAGAGCTTGTCATGTAGTGGAAAGAAAAGCACAAGGAGAAGATTTCAAGAAACAGAGGTAACTTTTCAGCAAGACTAATTCCTTTTTTGATTAAGTGGTTTACACAAGTAGATGACTGGCTTTGCCTTTACAATCCCTTCTACTAGGGTTTTGAACTTATACTTTCTTTCTTTTTGTCCATTGGCTTCTTTAGAGAATAATTTATGCAACTTTGACAGATAATTAATTATTTTATCATTACCAATTTGTTGTTTTACTTGATAGAAATCTGGGTGTTGTAACATGTGGTGAAGATTGAGTTTTCCAAATGCAGTGTGCTAATTACTTCTTAACTAGACCGCCCTTGAGATTTTGAATACCCCGTGCGATATTTTAAAATGGTGCCCCTTTCATGATATTAAAAAAAATATAAACATTTTAATAATATTATATCATCGCAAAATTATGATATTTAAATACCTTTTATTTTTTTAAATGTCGTGAATAAGAAAAGCACAAATAAAGTTCAAAAGCACATGACAAATTTCATCAAAATTCATGTCATCAACAAAGAACCATCCAAGCTCCTAAACTTTTCGTGCAATTCCAATATATGAGAAAACTTTAAAATCAGAAATATCAAATACTACATGTAAACTTTGAAATACAATAAATCGTGTAAAAATATTTCTTCTCGCATTTCTAGAAGCAAACTAACTAATTAAACTTTCGTTTCTAGCAAAACTTGTCCAGCTATTAAAGTTAGGACATTCAATTGTTCTTATAGCACGGTTGATTGTAAATAAGATTTTCATAACTTCAATTTTGAAAAAATTTGTTTAGTAATATTTTATAAGCAATAAATGTATTTATAAAGCGATTCAATATTTTCAAATAAGTCAATATATCAAAAGTTGTCTTTATACCTTTTGGTATTTCAAATATGTTAATATATAAAAAATTATCTTTGTTTCTTTTGGTAAAAGATTCCGCAAAATTTGTAACTCTTAAAGCAAATATTTGCCAACAAGGTCGCAAAAATTTACATGTCTTAGAACAATGTCAAGATAATCACAACTTGCTTTCCAATCAATATCATACAATACATTTAAATTGTCAAAAAAATAGAAATCTAGTTTTTTTTCATATTAATTGAATTGCTCGAAACTTCATTCAGGTGATTCAATTGTTTGATCTACAATATAAAAGAAATAATTGGTTGTGAAAAAAATTCAAGTGATTAATCATACATCTTCTACAATAGCATTTTCATCAAAATGTTTCTTCCTATGAATGCTATTTTTTCTCTTTTCCTTGACATTATTTAAAGCATGATACTTTTTAAGAAAATTATAACTAGTCAATTATATTATTCTTAGTTTTAGTATCTTATGCAATTGCATCTCATACCAAGTCAAATACATGCAATTAATAAGGAAATAATTCATAAATAAAATAGTTAAGCACAACGTACTGAAATTAGCTATGAAGGAGCCTAAACCATCTAAATCATTTCCTTTGCTTTAATAAAAATGTCTCATTATAATATGTATTTAGGAATAATAAATACAACAATATTAAATAAAACTAATTATTTGTCTATCTTTTAACTCATTTTTTTTATAAATATTGTGCACTTTAACTTAACTTAATAATTAAAATTTTAAATTTTAAAACTAAAAAATATTTAAAATATATAATTATACTTATATATAAACAAATAACAATATTTTTTTGGTGCCCCCACAATGATGATGCCCTGTGCGGTCACTCAACTCGCGCACCCTCAGGGCCGCCTCTACTTAAATTAAAAAAAAAAATTACAGCTTAGGAATGGTAGGACTGAAATCTTTGTCAACTAAAGAATATGTTTGTTTAGCCCCCGTTTGATTCACGTTCTTTGAAAATACATTCTTTCAAAACTTATTTTCAACCACACGTTTTTCAGTAAAATAATATTTTTCATGGTATCAATAATTTTTCCTTACATTTTAACCCCATATTTTTCATCATCACTATTTAAAATACATTATTTCCTCAATAATATATATCAAACACACAATTAGAGCATGTTTGGCCAAGCTTAAAATCAAATTAAAATTGAAAATATAGTCATTATTGGGTCTCACTCGTCTAATAAATGTCAACAACAATAACTAATTTTTCAATTTTAATCCAATTTTAATCTCTACCGAACACGTCCTTATTGTTCTTTCTAGTTCAGCATACCAACCATATTTTATTCTGATGGGGATTTGTTTGTCATTGTTTATTCTTTATGCTTCTTACCAACAGTGGCCCTCCCTCAATGTATTATTACTTGTCAGGTTGCCACTGTGGTAAACTCTCCACTCGTGCTTCACGG